TATAAATTAAAACGTTTGATTGGCTGTTACAAATCAATTTTTGCTCCGGACTTACAACAGCTCCTGTTTTCCTAGTTTTAGAAATTAAGAATTAGCAGAAAGAGTGATCTGAAATTTAGAATAATTTTTCTAATTACCAAAACTAAAGATTCTTTAAATAAAATTGAATATAATCTTGGTCTTAAAGTTGAACAATCCTTTGTTATATTCTTTATATCAAAATACTAACTCACATATGAGGATGCCCACAGCAAAACAAGGCTTCAGGACTATATATTATATAGTCTCTAAGCCTTGTTTTGCTGTGGGCATCCCTATATAGCATATGATTGGTCCAAAATCATAAAAAACCTCCATGAAATTAGGCTATCAATTTTTTCCGGCTATGCTATGCAAGTTCGCACAAGCGTCATCACGAAAAATTAAATTAAAGATAAACGACTTTCGAGTCTGTTTAAAGAGTAAGAGTAAAGAATATGGGTAAACAAAAAAAAAGGATTTTTAATTATTTCCGATTATTAAATATCTCTATTATAAGTAAGAAGGATTTATAATTTATGAACTATCTTAGATTTCAGATTTTTTATTTATAAGTTATTTAGATTGATTTTCCCAGATCGCTGTCGATAATCTGGCATTAACGCTCATCGTGTATGTATTTCATGATAAACATGTTACTTGAACTTTGCTTATTTTCTTTCGATACATTTTATCTCTATTGTTTTATATAAACATAGATCTTCGACAAAGTTTAAAATCCTTCCAATTAAACCTTACCACATTATTTTTTTATTATCAATGGTTTAACTTTTATATTTTAAGCATTGCAATCAAAGCTGATCGGGTTTTTTTTGCATATGTTTCGATAATGCTCATTTTGTCTAATCTCAGATCCTTTATGTTTGTATTATATGTATTGTCTATTAGCCTATACGTATTTCCATCGTTATACTATTAGTAATTATAATCCCTTGATCTCAATACAGTGATCGAATGTTATTTTTTTGACATCTGTATTCTATGCTTTTTTAGTGATCAGTTTGGTAAGGTTCAATTCCTAAATCCTGTTACCTGAATGCACTAGTTATGCATACACCAATTATATTATGCCGTATATATGCATTCGATCAAACCTAATGTCCGATCCGATTGATCAACATATCATTATGATTTGTTCAAAGAATTAAAAAAAGAAATCCGATATCGGGATCAACCATTAAATTACGAAAAAAAGGTATGCCGATACAAAAAATTTATAAATATACCAAATTAAGACTCATTAAAATAACACCTAATAAGGTATTGATTTGAATATTGCATTGAGATTGTAAAACGATTAATTTATTATAGAAAATACTTTTAATAATTATGGGATTTTTTTAGTTTCATAGCTTTAAACTATAACCAAACTGAAAATGATTAGGGTCTTATACAGAGCACAAAATCTATTGTAAAATTTCGGAGATTTCCGTTTCGTCATGACAATTTCCGCCTTGACTTTTCATCAGTCGGAAATTTTCCGAATATGATATCATATATACGTATGTATATAAATATCAATAAATATTACAATATCTTTATTAAAAAACTGCTACATCCGACTGAGTTTTCTAAGTTCCGGTTAAAATAAACGCCGCCGGAGAAAAAACATCTTCCGGCATTCGGAAATTTTGTGCCCTGGTCTTATATATTAGGTTAATCAGTCTAAAATTTGTTGCATCAATTTCCGCGACTAACTAATATGTTTATAAAATTGGTATAGTCAATTTCTATAGTATGTACGTACAGTACGTACAAATGTTTATGATTTATCAATTTGCGAATATTGATATAGCTTGTTTTTTTTGGATGTCGATTTTTTTAAATAAGCTGATCATATATTATGAATAAATTTGTTAATAATTAACGAACTAAAACATTCGTATAAATAGTGAAAAAAAACAAAAACATAGACAATCGGAAAAATGTCTTTAATGTTTTCGTTCCGATTTCCAACATTTTTAAGAAAATATAATTTTTTTTCGTTGTTAAATCGACGAATAACGAAATTTAAAGTTTTAATAATATTTGGAGTTTTAAATTTTATATTATTTATAAGTTTTTCGAGATATTTTATTAAAATACCAAATTTATTTGGAGATGATTCGTCAAAAAATGTTACGAGATTTGTTGACACTTTAATCGGAACAGCTAAAGGTGGTTTTTAACAATGTGGTTTTTAGTAACGTAATTTAAATCAATAAAGAACTATTAAAAAAAAATAAAGGTTTCATAATAATAATTTTTGGCTTCATTACTAACGTTTAATTTAAATGTAGATGGACATGTATTTCCTGGTCCTTGTCATCCTTATGGCGTTGTTAAATTAGGCTTTGATACTGATGATGTATATGATTTTAATGCTGGGTAAGAATACCTTGATAATTATTAAAATTATTTTATGAAATATTGAAAGATTAGAATGAAATTTTTTACAACTTACATTTATAGATACACTACTGGTGGAAAGATTACAGGAATTTCTCGTATGTATTATTCAATAATTTGTCTACTTTTCAGACGCGTATTTGCTCATTAATCGATTATTACTTGTAAAGACTTGCATGTTAGTGGAACAGGAGGTAAATAAGAAAAGATATAGTATATATATTGTTATTTACATGGTATAATTTCACTCATGTGCAGATTAAATGAAAAATAGGTGAACCAAAGTATGGTGTGATAAGTCAATTTCCCGTGATAGATTCACCCGAAGACCCGATTAATATATCCGATTTATCTTCCGAACGTTCATTTGAACATTTTGAAGTTGGTTATTCAAAGTTTGGATTAGAACGTTTTAATATTACAGTTGAATTAACGGCTAGTCGGAGAGCAGGTCTTCATAAATATACTTTTCCTCCAACCGAAAACAAAGCTAAAGTTTTCATTGATTTGCCTCATAATCTTGTTGTACATAACTATGGGTATGTTCTATATGTTCTATAATTTTATAAGTCGCATACCTAATTTCCCAATTATTAATAGTATTAATAACACATTCGTTTAGCTTCACCCATCGGTACCATGGAGGAACGATCCAATCTATCTCGCATAATCAAGTAAAAGGAGCAGGCCGTTATAGTGGCGGTTGGAATAGAGGTGGTCTTTATATTGTCTACTTCTGTTCACAATTTAATGTCAATGCCACTGAATTTATGGACTTGGAGAGTAACTCTTTTCGTAGCTTTAGTTACTTTGAAGAAACAGATGATTTTAATAAAAAGTCCGATGGTGCTACTTTAACGTTCGATATTATCGAAAATCCGGTAATCATATCAAGAGTTGGAATTTCATTTATGTCAGCTGAACAAGCTTGTAATAGTGTTGAAAGTGAAATACCTGATTGGGATTTTGAAAAGACTAAAAAAGAAGCTGTAAATGCTTGGCAAACGGAGTTAGAAAAGATACAGGTTGAAGGAGGAACTGATGAGTTAAAAACTATTTTTTATAGTGGCTTATACAGAACCATGATCATGCCTAGTGATAGGTATGCTTTTTATATATTTAATAAAATAAATAATATTAATATTTTGTTATTTTTGTTATTGAAGATATTGCTTCTTTTATATAATAATATTATCGTGATTATAGAACTGGTGAAAATCCAAAATGGGAAACGTTCGATAAAGATGGTAAATTAATACCCCACTATGGAGATTTTTACACTTTAGTACGTTATTTTTTTATAAACTCTAATAAATTCTAGAAAAGAATAAATATTCTAACTAAAATAACTTGATAAAATTAATAGTGGGACACATTTAGGTAAGTTTTATAATATATTAATGCCGTAGCATCATGACAAAATAATTCTTAATATAGTAATAAAATACTTTACTAATATAAATATAGAACGACAAACCCATTATTTACACTTTTCCAACAAGAACGAGCTATAGACATTGTTAGATCATTAATTGATATATATAAAAATGAAGGATATATGCCCGATGGAAGAAGTGGATTAGCGAACGGAGTTACACAAGGTGGTTCTAATGGTGATATGGTTGTGGTAAGGTTTAAATCTTTATCAACTTTAACTTCTTTCTAAAAAATATAATCTCCTTAATTTTTTTTAACATATTATTATATTAGGCTGAAGCTTATTTAAAAAAATTGGGAACCGACATAATAGATTGGGATCTTGCTTACGAAGCTTTAATAAAAGATGCTGAAGTAGATCCTAGCTCACGCGGATTATATGAGGGTCGATTATTTTTATCAGAATATAAAAAATATGGTTATATACCTTTCTCAGGGAGTCTTATATCTATATATGCATATTCTCATTGCAGTAGAACTGTAGAATATTCTGCTAATGACTATAGTATCAGTCTTATTGCTAAAGGTAATAGGTGAAAATGGTTACATTCCTGAAATTGATTTTATTTTTATATTGGACATTAAAAATTTAATATACACAATATTCAAACTAATCTACTTTATTAAAAGAGATGGGTAAACATAGTGATTATGTTAAATATAGAAAGAGAGCAAGAAGTTGGGAGAATTTATGGTATCCTAATAAGACTTTTGATGGTAAATAAATTTTATTAATCATTATTTTATACGCTAAGCACATATTCAATTATATATTAATATTATTTATAATAAAGGAGCAAAAGGATTTATCATACCAAGATATGAGAATGGTAACTTTTATACTGATATAGACGTTTTGAGGGAAAAAGGTGGTGACTACGTATTCTATGAAGGTTCATCATGGGAGTATAGTTTGGATATACCTTTTGGTACGTACTTTTATAAAATAAGTATTCTGTTTTAATGTTTATTTACGATATTCTATCAGGTTATTAATTATTTTGAAATTATTTTAAAACTATAGATGTAAAACGATTAATTGAATTATCCGGTGGTCCAAAAAAATTTGAAAAACGTCTCGACAAAACATTTGCTGATAAATCTTATCAAACTGGTTATTATAATATAGGAAATGAACCTGATTTCTTTCACATTTGTTTATATCATTTTATTGGAAAGCAATATAAAAGTGTTGAAGTTATACGAGATATTTTAAAAACTAAATTTGGAAGTGAACAAGATGGAATTCCAGGTATGTTATAAATCAGTATAATCTATAAATTAATAATCTATAATAATTGATATGTAAATAAATAAATTTCTAATATTTATTTATTCTTGTTGAATAGGTAATGATGATTCAGGAGCGATGGGAAGTTGGTTTGCTTTTAATGCAATCGGGTTATATCCACTGTAAGTTATAAATCATTATTTATTACAGTATTGATTATACTATTTTATATCGTTCTGTTTATTTAATAACAATATTTTTTATATATATTTAGGGCTGGCACAGACATATATTTAATAAACTCACCACATTTTGAAAAAGTAACGATAAACCTTACGCCAAAAATAAAATTCAAAATTATAGCTTATAACTTAAGAAATGAAGAGCACACAAACCCATATGTTCAAAGCGTAAGGATTAACGGTAAAAATTGGAGAAAAACATGGTTTAGACATTCAGACATTGCAAATGGTGCAGTTATGGAATTGGGTATGGGTCCAAAACCCAGTAAAGTTTGGGGTGTTATTGGACAAAATGAAGATAAAATTGATATAGAAGATAGAGTCGTGCCACCTAGCATGAGTGACTATGATATCTAACTCTAATCTAATATTTTATCTAAATGTTGAAATTTATTTGTTTAAATGCCATTATCAATATACTTTTAATTAGCAAGAGCATAAAATGAACAAGTATAAAACGGAAGGTGGGACCCATGTCGAAATTACTAATTAACTTAAAAAAGTGTTTCATCCTTTAGTAATATACACATGGCTATTCATCAATTTATGTACAGTACGAGATAGCATAGAATATCAATGTTTAATTGTTTTCTAATAAAAATTATTAAATAAAAAATTCCTTTTCATGTTAATAGTTTTAAACCAAACTTTATTTTAAAATGTGGATTTTTCTTTTGACAATCGCTTTAGCAATAACTTAGTTCATGACAATTAATTTACGATTAATTCACAGACAAGTCATTTCACAACAGTTTATTTCACAGACAAGCCTCTTTAATTTCACAACAGTTTATTTCACAGACAAGCATCTTTATAAATTGTTCTAACCTTAATTCCAGCGTTACCAATAATCGAGGGCGCAGTCACATCCTCTGATCTTTATTGATGTATTCCTTTCCCATTCTCGTTTTTTTTATTAGGTTTTTAGGATTAATGATTTGGCTTCAAATTTGACAAAAAAAATGTGCTCCATAAATCAAATTTCTTTAACGTACTAGTATATATTATAAATATCACAAACATTAACAGATTGATCGTGATGGAATATTATATAATTAGCCTTTGTAACTTATTATTCAAAAATCAAATAAAAACTTTTTGAAAAATTGTAAAAATGGACGGTTTTAATACATAACACCCCTTATATCAAATATACCAGGAACGGAATACGAAGTACGTAGTGTATGGTTTACAGGCAAGTTAATATGCATGTGCGATTCTCAGCATATGATTGGGTAATCTGTCATCGTGACTTTGCGTAGCACCCCGAACAATACTTTAAAAGGTAGGTACCAGGAACAAATGCCTCTGTACGAAAAATCTTAGAATTGATTGGTTCGCGTGACTTATTCATCATTCAATATTTAAAAAAAACATAAATGAACGCATACATCTGTAAAATCGAAGATGCTATAACAAAGGATAGTAAAAATAAGTTTTTTAGGCACAAAAATTAGTGTCCCAATATAAATTTAAAGGCCTCAATGCTAAAATATTTGGTAATTTTCATTTTTTTTTCATCGAATTTTTTATCGGGCTGATAAAATAATAATCACTGATCGTCAAAGACTTAATCAAAAGAATTCGTCGATCATTTCTAAATACAGATATGTTTCGTAGATTTTTAATGTTTTTTGCAGGGCCCCAGAATTTTGAACTCATACAGAGGGATCCCAAAAATTCCGGGTCAGAATCCATAGGAGGAAATTCGTTTCATTGGCTAATTCATGATCACTTGTAGATCACTTTTTAATTTTGCCAAAATCCGATTGGTCAATTCTGTAAATTATGAAATTACTATGAAATTATTGATAATGATAATTATGCAATAATTATGCAAATACTTGTAAAATTGATCGAATTCTCTGGTCTTTAATTTATTTTAATTGTAATAATAATCTTACAAAACATAAAAATAAAAATAAATAAATAAAAAATCTGAATTTTAAAATATAAAATATTAAATTATATTTCTATCAAAATATTAATTTTCATCTTTTAAAAATAAAAAATTAAATAATTAAAAGGAATTATAATAGAAGAAACTTCCATATTGAATCATTCCAGGGAACAGAAACATTAGCAGCAGATTTCTTAGTATCATCATCATCATCCTCAGAAACAGAATTGTCTTCACCTTTAGCACTTTTGGCATTTTTATTTAAATCAATTTTATACAAACTTTCTAAAAGCAATTGAACATGTTTTTCAACACTGTCTTTAATATAGTTCAAACAATGTAAATATTTGGACCTGTCTTGGCTAAAACATGCATCATGATATGCATGATCATATGTAATACCCAATCCATTTTTTTAGTAAGTGGTAATCCTATTTCCTCACTTATAATTGTATTAGTAATGCAATTAAAAAAATCACAATTAAACAAACTAGACCTAAATGAGAAACTATATTCTAAGGGTAAGTAACAAAATCATACTTCTTTCATTTTTATTACTGGAATAAAAATACTTTCAGTATTAATATTTTCTTCTTTTTTATTTCTTTTTGATGACTATAGCATAATATCCTATAATGGAATTGAAAATTTAAGTTTTTCATACTTAATATAAGTATAAATTTTATAAAAACAATTTAAGAGAAAGCATACTATTTTCTAAGTTAAAGTCTTAATATTCTGAAAAGAATATTGATAAGTCATCCAAGTTGAATTGTGAACAAAATTTTCTTTAAACTCATTATGATCAAATCTTAAAAAATTGATATATCACATATAAAGGTTTTGTTATTCAAAGTACTTTGTATGTAATTTTGTCAATAAAAATACTTAAAATTTTATTAAAAAAATCTTGTCAGGTTTAAATAATTTTTAAAAATATATAAATTTAAAAATAAAAGTACATTAAAAATAGAAGCTTAGTTCACTCATAAGGCTTGCTAATCTATCTAGAAGATTTGGGCATATAATTAATAATAAATAAAGATAAAAATATAAAATAAATGTAAATCATTACAAATCAAAGTTGATCATTAATACACATGTTAATCACATTATTAATAAGCAAAATTGCACTATAGGATAAAGTAAATGAGTCATAATGATGTTTATTTATCTATGTTACATTTGCTAAATTAATCCTAATTATAATTGATAAACTGATAAATTAAATATAATTAAATTAATTATAGTAATTAGTATGTAATTAAGAAAAGACTTAGAAAAATAATGAAAAAGAAAAATTACAGAGAAATTATAGTATTGTTACAGGTATATTGAAACTTTTTGGTAGTAGTCTATCAGGTTTGGGATTAGAAATTCCATTTAGATCTTCTATTAGGACTATATTGTAGTTAGTTTTGTTAAGAATAGAAATAAGATATAAAAGAATATCTTTTTTAAGTTTTTTTTTTCTTGAGTTGGAAAATATAATTGAATAAGTTTGATATAAAAAATTTAAAAAATAGATCAATTTCTAAAATGAAGTTTTTATAAGTTTGAATTTTTTAATATATTTGGCAAGTAATTTATAAACTATTATTTCTATGCTATCTTGTCAAGCATTGCTAGATGTCCAGAAGTATTTATAATTTATGAGTTTTTGTAATAAGATTGAAAATTTTGTATTTTTAAAGAATAGGTGTGTTTTTAAAATTCCAAAAATATCTATTTGATTTTTTGAAATAAAATCAATTAAACTAAGTTGTTTAATATTATCTAAAAGACTATTAATATTAAATAAATGTATTTTAATTATTGTATGATAGTTGAGTTTGCTGATATTAAGGTATTGTTATTATTGTATGTTGTAGTATAAGATAATTCTGGGATAGAAGGTGGAGTTGATGCAAGAGATTTTTAGTATTTCAGAAGAGATGGTATTTTGAATTTTATTAAAAAATAATTTGTTTTAAGTAAAATATTTTAAAAGTCTAAAAGATTTTGAAAGAAATATAATTGAAGTTATATAAAAGTTTGATTTTTTGTAAAAGATGGATATAAGCTTTTTTGTATATGTTATTGTTAGATATTTTAATAGAAATGTTGATGCATTACTTTGAATAGTATGTTAGATAGATATCTTGAATAAATTTTAAAAAAAGAATCTACTGATCTGGTATTGGTAGAAGTTGTAAGTTATAAAATAAGAGAAATTTGTTAAAACATGTTAAAGAATTTTATATTTTGGATTAATCAAAGATTTGTGTATTAGTTTTTTCTTTAATAGTGTTTGTTGTTGATAAATTAATAGTATCATTTAGATTATCTGTTGATGAATTTTGATTGTTATTAGTAAAGTTTAGGTTTATTGAAATATTGATAAAGATTTTTGGTATATATGATTTTTTTGAGATAGATAAGAAGATATTTTTAGTGAAAAGGGTTTCAAAAGGATATAATGAGTTGAAATCTGAGAAGTTTGAGTTTCCTTCTATAGATGCACTAGTCATATACTCAGTTTTCACAGTTGCAGAAAATATCATAGTCTGCCTGTATGTTGGATTTGACTGTTATTAGTTTGATCTTTTGTGTATGTTTAAAATTATTAATTATATTAATAACTAATTATTTACTAATATTTGATTATTTTTTGTATTTATTAAATTATTTTAATAATAATATACAAATTTTATTTATTTATTTTAGACAAACAAATTTATATATTATAAATAAAAATAATCTAATAGTATATATAAAAATAATTATATATATATAAGTATTTTTTTAATTTTATTTTTTTTTATATAAAAAATTGTAAAACTTATATAAAATTTATGCATATTAATAAAGTAAAAGTAAAAAATTAAGTAAAAAGACAACTAAATAAAAAAAAAAAATAAGCAAAAATAAAAAAATAAATAAATAAAAGAATTAGATAATTAGAAAGATTAAATAATATATATAAAAAACAATAGTGCTTATAGTTTAGACTAATTTGTTTAGTACTAGTAAACAAATACATTATTTTAACGTAATGTAGTTTCTTGTTCTTCAAGTCTTTCAAACAAAATTTTAATATTTCAAAAAAGATTTAATTACTAATTTGGATTGTTTTTTTTGACAAATTATATCAAATGAATTGTAAATATTTTACTTAAATGTCACAAAATAATTTATGTTTCTATTTCTTAAATTATAAAAGTTTTTAGTTTTATGTTTATTAATTTTTAACATTACTAAAATAACTATCTCATCACTTTAAAAAAAATGACTTTGATCCCTTTAATTGGATAAGTCCTGATAAGATATATTGTGTTGTTAATTTTTCTTGAAACATATAGAATTACTTTAAGCAACTATTTTCTTTAATATTAATACAGTTTGACTATTCAATTATCGCATTTTTCAAAGTGATTTAGTTTCCAATTCATCGTAGCTCTCAATATTCATAGACTTA